GGGTGGTCTGACAGGCCCCCGGTCGTCGTCAGCCTACGACTGTCATGAGTTTGAGGCAGGCAACCCGGCCTCAACTCTGGAAAAGACGACGGGAAGGCCTCTGCAGGTAGGTAACCTGGCCTGCAGTGGCAGCTATGCTACAGGAAAATTAGTTGGCGATGATGGCTCTGATATCGAAGAGTTGCAGAAGGCCACTCAAGCCATCAAGAAACTTGGCCTCAGTGGAGCAATTTCCATAACCTCCACTCAAGGCCAAAAAAGAAGGCGTCAGACTACTGCGTCTGACGAGGAGGAGGATCTAATTGCGGGATCCTCGAAATCTGAAGAAGTATGTTCAAAGACGTCGGTTCGTTTGTTGGAACCGGGTCGGCTGGCGGAAAAGGCCAGAAAYTTGATCTCCGCCGCAGATGAAGAAAGGAGGAGATCCAAAAATATAAAGGGAGAGGTGTCTGGGCGCATGAAAGGTAGCCTCATGGGTGCCTTGAGCCTAGTCRCAGAAATGGAGAGACGCCTTATTCAGAGGGACGAGATCCTCTCTGAGAGCGAGGCAATAAAATCCCTAAGGAGAGAGCTGAAGGAGCTGGAAGCTCGCCATGAAGCAGCTCTTGAGAAAATTAAAACATTAGAGCAGAGCCAGAGGGCCAAAAAATGTACTTTGCCCCCACCCCCCTCCACTGATAGCAACATGGACAAAGTCCTGGCAGAGGTGCGAGCTCTTGCCAGATCGGTGGCAGAGTTGCAGCGTTCGAAGAAGGACTTGTCGGCTCCTGCTGCGGCTGTATCTGCGGCTCCGGCTGCAATAAAATTTAATTTTGGGACTAAGACGGGTGGTGTATCTGGGCTGGGAGCGGGTGCTACTCCACGCCCGGTGCTTTTTACACCACAAACCAGTGGGGTGCCAAGACCGACCGACGGCACCCACCGAATTAAGCCCAGGGCTATGCCGGAACCTGCGTCTAAAAAAGACGAGAGTTTCGCGGTAGTACTGGGAAAGAAAAAGCGCAGGGCTATGGCGAAACTTGCCAAACCTGCGCCTTGCCAGGGCACTGTCCCCACCGCTGAAGAAATCCCTTCAAAAGGGAAGAAACAAAATGCTATAGGAGTTAAAAATACTTCTTCTAAAAAACAAAACAAGACTAAACGTGACAGGGGAGTGGAGCGGTCTGCGGCTATCTCCCTCACGTGCCCGGGGGAACTTTCGTACCGGGACGCCGTACTCCGAGCAACGGAGAAGATTAACCTCAAAGAGCTCGGGGTTACGGACATGAGGTACAGAAGAGGCCTTACAGGCTCCCTGATCTGGCAAATCCGAGGTTCCAATGCCAATAAAAAGGCTGATAGCGTTGCTGAGGCCCTTAAGGGAATCCTCCCRGAGGCCAAAGTTGCAAGGCCTCAGAAAATGATCGACGTGCGGCTCATTGGCCTGGATGTTGCCGCTACAAGCACGTCGATTAGGTGCTCTTTAATGGAGACCAAATCGGGAATAGACCCGAACTCCATAAAGGTTGGGGAGATACGCGCGGGCCGTGGGAGAGCGGGAGAAGTAACCGTCTCTGTTCCTGCTGCCATGGCTTACGCAGCCCTAAAAAAAGGGAAAATTGTGGTCGGGCTCTCGACCGTTAGAGTCAAAGAGCTCAAACAAAGACCACTAAAATGCTACAGGTGCTGGGCCAGAGGACACGTAGTGGCCTGTTGCCCGTCAACGACCGACAGGGTTGGCCTGTGTTTCATGTGTGGCAAGCCGGGGCACAAGGCCAAGGATTGCACCGAGAAGAAACCCTGTTGCCCGGTTTGCTCGTCTGCGGGGCGCCCTCAGACAAATCACCGGGCTGGATCCTGGGACTGCCCAATTGTCCCTCCCAAGAGGGAGGGGAAGGCAGTGCCCTCTCCGGAAATGAGGGCATCCGTTGTTAATGATACAACGAATAATTCAACCGCCGCGTTGGAGGAAGTTGAGATGGAGGTCATCGCCTCCGACACTGGCGGTATTGATGAAGTCAACGGATCCAAAGAGGATTCAGATGATCAAACAACTGCAGGCGATAATCCTGACAATAATTAATGGAGCAGGTCATACAAATAAATCTAAACCATGCGCGCCAGGCACAACATCTCCTGGCGCAACGTATGATCGAGTTGAAAGCCAGTATTGCTGTCATCTCGGCGCCGTGGTGGGTCCCTGAGGGGGACGGAAGYTGGTTCCCATCCAAGGGTGACCACCCGCTCTCTGCAGTGCTAGTTAATCAAAGCAGAAGGACCTGCAGTCTGGTGCGCCAGGGCTCGTATTACGTTGCGGTCAAGTGGGGGGACTCGCTGTTAATATCAGTATACTTCCCCCCCAGCGAGGACATCGTACGCTTTGAAGAGCTCCTGGAAGAGCTTCAATGGCTCATGGGGGACTTCCCTGCCCTGCCGGTACTGCTGGCCGGGGATTTCAATGCTCGGTCTCCTGACTGGGACCCAAACGGCAGGGGTAACCGTAGGGGTGCCCTGCTTCGTGATTGGGCCAATGGGCTGGGCCTTCGGCTTATAAACCAGGCTGGCCATCCCACGTGCGTTCGGCCATCTGGGTCGAGCGTTATCGACCTAACGTGGGGGTCAATGGTTGCTAGTGCCCGCCTCTCGGATTGGAGAGTTGACGAGGCCGAGTCTTTATCAGACCACCTGTACGTCAGCTTCTGCTATAGCCAAGGGATCGCGGGGCCCGGAAGCTTCCGCCCATCAGAAAGGAAATTTCCCCGCTGGGTCATTAGAACTTTGGACGGGGACAAGCTTTCCGCGGCACTCCTGACGGGAAGHTTGGTCCTGCCCGACACTGGAGCAGGGGGTGATCCCAGGTGCCTTATCGGTTGGGTTCGGGATACCCTAAGACAGGCGTGCGATACGGCCATGTTAAAGTTAAGATCTGGGCCTAGCTGGAGAAGGAATGTTCCCTGGTGGTCAAAYGAGATCGCTGACCTCAGGGCATCCGCGACGGCCGCCAGGAGACGGCTGACCAGAGCTAGGAGGAGGCAGAATCTGCAGGTGATAGGCCAACTCTTAGAGGCTCAGCGGGCCGCAAAAAAGGCTCTTACCAGGGCCATTAAGAGAGCCAAAAGGAGTGCGTGGCAGGA